CAGCTCAGAGGACTTTTATTCATTTCTATTCCTGCACTCAGGGTTCAGACAGTTCTGGTTGTATTTAGCTTTAAAATAAATCAGTATTATTCTCATTATCTTTATTTATACGGATTTAGTTTTATTTTAAATACGTTGTTCTCTGACCTTTGACATTAAAACCACTTTAGAATCCGTTTGTTCACCTTCTACAATCTTCTACTTTGTTTTCCTTCATGTTTTTAAAAAAGGTTCAGAGAAACTTTTTCTTTCTTTCTCATCACTAATTAATTACAATAAATAAATAAAAACTCCTTCAGAATATTTATGTTATCAGTTCCTCAGACATCAGAGCAGATTTAATAAATTAGTGAATCATCAGAAACCAGCTGATGCTTTAGGCTTTAGTTCATCAGAGTCACATCGTCTTGTTCTGTTTTAAAACGACACACGACAAACCGAACATGTGCAGGAAGTGTTTGTTTAAATGGATTTAATTCTCCAACGTGAAGCTAGCATGCTGGTGTTAGCATGTTTAGCGTGTTTAGCGTGTTAGCTGCTCTTACTGCTGCTCAGCACCAGTCACCTGACCAGCTCTCTGTTTCTGTCCCACTGAGCTGATTTTACTGGTTTGCAGTGAACTTTACCTGCAGCACCTGTCCTCCCTCACGCTCCTGGAAACACCTGAGTCAGGTGTGTGTGTGTGTGTGTGTGTGTGTGTGTGTGTGTGTGTGTGAGCGCGCTCAGTGCACGCTCTCTGTTTACATGACAAACGCTCTGCAGCACAACTGGAGCCGAACGCAGTCGCTCAAGTCAAGGTGTTTCCTACCTGAGGACACGCCCACCTGCACACACACACACACACACACACACACACACACACACACACAGAGGATTGCTGGGCGCTGAGTGATGTCCGTGTTCAGGAATGTGCTGCAGCACCACACTGGGCTCTTTGTGTCGGGCTCCTGCGCTGCGTCCGTCCGACCGGTTCTGTTCCTGTTCTGACCTGCCGACACACGGCTCTGGAGTCGCGCCTGACGGGATTAAAATAATCCGCTACCAGCAGCTACGTTTACACGAGGATTCACTGTTGTTCCTCCTGAACTGAAGCTTAAGCTGGTGATGCTGCTGCGATTAACTTTATTTGTAGAAGACTTTTAAAAATCAGAGTTTTAGGAACAAACATCTCGTTATTAAAATAAGAGTTTAAACAGTTATTAAAGAGGCCACAGCCTGCACATTGACACGTTTATAGCTGTAGTTCAGGAGCTTTAAAGGACGTCTACAAACACACTACTTGGCTCATATCTCTGTCTGAAACGCTGAGTCTGTCCCTTTAAGGCCCGCCCTCTGCTCTGATTGGTCCGCTGGTCAGCTGAGCGTCACCTACAAATCTTAACTCCAGGTCTCTGAGCTGAGGGATGCAGCTCCATCAGACGAGGCTCTGATGAGGAAAAACTTCGTTAAACGCTCCGCCGGCAGGTTTTATGTAAATGTGTGACGTGATGATGTCGATACGTGACGGAAGAAACACCTGGACTGTAAACCAGGTGTTTCTGGCAGGTGAGTTTGTGTCTAAACTTTCTGAGACGTTTCAGAGGCGCTACAGAGCAGAATACGGACCTTCAAGTCTTCATGAACGACTTCAGTCATCGAGACGCAGCTTCGTGAATCAAAGCTGTTTTCTAACTTCATGTTTTCTGTTTGTTGGTCTTTTGGATTCTTTGTCTTCAGGTTTCATCTGCCAACACGTTCACTGAATTTCATTGTACAATAAAAGTGATTTTGATGACAACAGTGATTAAACGATTATTAAATTATAATGATATGAAGTTATAGTAACGAGCTGGTGGACTCTAGGACCGACCCGGATTCATGACTGACTGGTGCGGTCAGACCCACGTCTCTGCTCGATCAGTGATTAACTCCGTCCACACGTTTGATGATTAACAGGTCAGTAACGAAGACGACGTGATGGATGAAGGCTTCTAAAACCTAGAAAAGCAAACAAACAGAGCTTCTCCAGGAGCCTGAACTGGACCCAGATCCTGCGGTTCTGCTCCGCCTGCAGCAGCATCTCTGGTCCTCCGACTGCATTTTCACTGCTGCCGTGAAATTACTGTCATTTTGTGGGGAGAAGCGGCGGCGAGGCGGCTGCCTAATGGCTCCATTACAGCTTCCTGTCCCGACGGCGGCGAGCAGAGCTGCTGTCAGTCAGCCCGCCGCCCATTAGAAACACCTGCTTTGAATCAGGGATCGTCTGACGGACCGAAACCGGTCATTCAGCGCCAACATTTGTGTGCTTGTGTTTCCTGTGCTGTCGTCTGACCTGCGACAGCTGGACCTGTGGATGGAGGCTGAAGATGTTACTGAAGAAGGTTTGAGCCTCGAGGACAGAAAGCGTTCAGCGTGTCGGCTTCTGGCCTGAGAGACGCTGCAGATACATGATTCCTCCTCTGCTTCAATGGAGGGATTTTATTCAGAGCCTGAGGAGGAAACCGGATCCAGAAGAACAATCTGCAGGAGAAATATTTATCTTGTGACGCCTCACAGAGTGTTCAGCTGATTCAAACTGTAAATAGTTAAACATCTGGAGGAGGTGGAGCCTCCATGTCGGGTCCTGGTTTCACGTTTGGTTAAAAAAAAAAAGTAATTCTGACAGAAGAGTCTCTGAGTTCTGTCTCCTGCTTCATGTGGTTCTGGTTCCTCAGAGCTGCAGAGCTCCGTGAAGGAAGACGAGACAGAATCAGAAAAACAACAACAGGAGGAGACTGCTCAGAGTTAAACCTCTGTTCGATTTGGTTTTATAAACATATATGTTATATATTATTTATTCATATGTGTCAGAAGTCCACAGCGTTCCTGCCTCATCAGTGCGATATATTCATTCTACCGTTGGGCTCATTGTACATACGTCCTACCGGCTCCTTCTGTAAATATTCTATTTGTCTTATTTTATACTCGTTGAACGATGACAATAAAAGCATTCTGTTCTTCTATTTCATTATTTTCCTAATTTGTCTTTTCAATTATTTTATGGCCGACTTCATTCCAGTGTTTTATTGGAGCATCACCTTCATCCTGTTCCTGTGAAGCAGCAGCGCTTCAGCAGGTCTCATGCTGTGAGGAAAAGTGAGACAGGAGCAAAAGAAAACCTCCCAGAAACCACATCGTCTGGAAGCTGCTCCCATCTGACCGGTGAGGACGTTACTAGAACCAGGTTTGAGCTCGACGAGGCTCCTGAATCAAACTGTGGTTCTGGTTCTGGTGACGTTTGGGTGTGTAACCGGATCAGAGCTGAAGTCATGCTGGTGGTAATACTGATGAATACAATAAAGCTGATGATAAACACACATAATAAAGAACATGAACAGAAGTATTTACTGAGGAAGTTCCAGCTGACGGCAGAAAAGAACTGAAGTTTACTGTTGAACATTTAAATCCTGTTTTACTTTATGTTCTGTAACTTTACACTTGTTCTGTTGTGTTCTGTGTTATTATGGATCAGTACCGAGCTGGATATCGTCTGTCTTGTGATGATAACGATGCAGAAAGGACCGACAGCGGCTCTGAGCCGACGCCGTCTGCAGCCTCCAACGCTCGCTGCTGGTTCTACAGCAGGTCGTGAATCGAAGCCAACGGAGGGAAAATGCAGATCAGGACAGAGCGGCGGTTGGAAAACAGGCTGCAGCCTCAAACAGCTGACTGCTCCGTGACCGGACCGACACCGGCGGAGGTCGGATCCGTACGTCACACTGCGACCCGCCGCCGGTTTAAACGTCCAGACTGACGTCAGCCGGTGCGGCTCTGAGCTGCTGCAGCCGACCGGCGGCGCCTCGCTGCAGGAGGACGTTTGGTCGCTGCTGTGAGTCAGCACGGCCGCTGCGTTACCATGGAGACGGCGAGCCGGCCGGCCGGCGTGGAGCAGCAGGACGGCGGCGGACTGCTAATGTGGATGCAGGCGGGGGCGGAGCCTGTGGCTGACCTCTGACCTCTGACCTCCAGGTTCTGCTGTCGACGCAGACGGGACGAGTTCTGCAGCGAGACGTCATGAGCAGCGAACAGAACCAGGACCTGGACCTTCAGTCTGACACACACACTTCTGTTTATTGTTGTCTCTTGTTTTATTTATTTCATCTCCTTTTGCACGTTTGTCAATTTAATTTATTCATCATTGTTTATTTCTCTCTCTCTCTATATATATATATATGTACTTGGATATATTTTTATTTCTTGAGTGTTTTATTCTTATTCATCGGTTTATTATTGCTTGGGTGTGGAACAGGTGCACAGAGCATTTTACTGTCTGTGACCAGTGAAGACGTTGAATCCTTGAATCTGTTTATTCATTTGTTTTAGTTTGTTCAGTGCACCGTTTATTTCTTTCTAAAATTATTCTCTTGTTCTGTGTTTATGCATTTTGACTTGTGTTTTGTCCTTCATCCACCCGGACGTCTGTTTTAATCTGAGTTGATCTCATCTGGTGTTCCTTCGCTGCACGTCTTATTCATGGCAGTGTTTCCTCACTTCCTGTTTCATCGTCCTTCATTTACAACACGACGTTTATTTTATTGCATTTTATTCCTTTAACTCTGTGACATCATCTGTATGAAGAGTTTCATCAGTGAGGAACACGAGCTGATCAGAACCAGTTCTGGTGTTGTTCATGATGTGCTGCTTCATTCAGAACCGTCCAGACTGGTGTCACATCCAGCGCGTCCACACGGCGCTCACTGAGCCGGTCCAGTCTGATTCTGTTATTCTGAGACGTTCACACGGAGCTGCTCCGGTCGGCTTCTTTTGCATTTCTGCTCCGACTGTGAGTCCAGCGGAGAACACAACCTTCACCTTCATCAGTAACCAACATAACTGTTAGTTTCACCATAACAGAGGCCTAAATGTCCCCGTCAGAACCCGGTCAGAACTCACTAGAACAGAAACTCTCCTGGTCCACATGAGCGATGGGATGAGATGGATGCTGTCCTGCCCCACCCAGTGAATGCACAGAGCGCCACGGCAACATTTAAGCAACATGTTTATTGAAACAAAATCTGCTTTTAACCGTAAAAAAAACACAAAAAAACAATAATAATAATAATAAGAAGAAGAACAGCGTACATTTATTTCCCCAGAGAAGAAGAGTACATGAGTGAGCAGGTGTGCTATGAACAGAGTTGATATGAGGCCATGTGGCTTTAAATCCGACTACAGCGAGCGTGACGCCTGCAGCTCGAGTGTTAACAGGCTAAATGTTACCCAGCAGGAGCCAGCGAGCTGCCAGACCGGCAGCAGCCACCAACAAGGACAGCCATCCTCAGCATCACACGAACGACGGCAGCCATGAGCGCAGGTGTGTGTTTGAGTGAGTCTTTGGTTGATGCAGTCTCTATACAAGCAGGAGACACACAGCGACGTGGACGGCAGATGGAAGAAGCACAAACAGAAACACAACATGGCTTCACATCTATGTACAGCATCGAGCCCTGGGCCTGATTGTCTCCACGGCTTTTCACAGTGCACGTGACTTTTTTTTTTTTTTCATTTTCACGAGTCAGTCCATCAACGTGACGCCACAAAACCGCTCATCGCGATCGCGCAGCATCGCCGCCCCCCCTCCTTTTTGTACATTAAATAGAAAAGAGCAAGGCACTCTGGGTAAAAGAAGGCGAAAGCGGGCGCCTGGAAAATTACCTGCCATTAATCTGTGCAAACAATTGACTTTTTAGCCCCAGTGATTGGGAACACGGCAAAATTAAAAGTCGTATTTCAGCTGACCTGACAGCAAGTGCGGAGGTTAAGAAATGGTTGTATTTAGTCTTGGTGTACCTTTTCCTTTCTAATGCAGTGGCTTTTTACAACCCCACTCCCCTCGCCCTTCCTATTCCCTTTCCTCCTTTCTTTCTTTTTCACTGCTCGGCTCCCTGACTGAGCTGAAATGACCTTAAATTGGTCCGAACTGGATGGAAACACTCTAAAGTGCTGCTCAGACAGTCGAGTTCCCGGCCAGAGAAAGCCGAGAAACAATAAAAAATGGGAACAAGGAGAGAAAAAAAAACAAAAAAAAACTCAGGAATTCACAGTCACTCTTTGTCACACTTCAACAAGCTGATCCGGCCATAAAGAGCAGCTTTAAACCTCCAGTCAGCTTCCAGAAAAAAAAAAAAACAGAAAGAAAGAAAAGACATTCAGACTTAATGAGGATGTCAGCGTGAAGCTTTCAATGAATGGCAACTCCAAATTCAAAACACTGGTGAATAGTAGAACAGGAAAAACTCCAAACTCCTTCATTTAACCCTCGATGAAAACGTGAAACTAAACACAAATAAAACAAATGAAAACACGTAGACGCTGAAGATAGACCCATATGGGATTCCCAATGCCAGCCGTCACATATATCCAGATACCAAGCTCTTGGATTAAAACAAATATGACATTTTGTGTTGTAAATTAACAAATATTCCTCAATAAATATGCAGAAATCAGATATTTGGATGTATGACTGGGAACCTTCACAGAACAAAAACCCCAACAGTCCATTTTTGGGAGGTTTCTTTCACCACATATCAACTGATAAATATTGGTAAGCCCATATTCGGTCTATCGATGGTGTAATCCACACTGTGCATTTAGTGGTGTCCATGTTGAGGTGAAAACCAAAAACGGAACAGAACAGAACAGAAATGATGAACAGAACCAATCCAAAAACAAAACAGCCGTTTGGAAGTGGGTGCAGTGCAGGGAATCAGTGAAGCTTTGGTGGATGAATAGTGCCAAATAAGTCCCAGCGTGACTACCACACCCGGTTGGTCCAATGGATGTCCCTGGGGTACATTGCCGTGTTTGCGTAGTCTCCTACCTGTTTGTTGCTGTATTTGGGTGGGTTGGCCTTGTAGCTGTAATCCGAATATTGGTCGGAGCCCGTGGAGTTGTTGTCGCCCGTCCCCACGAAGGTGTTGGTGGCGGGGAGGTCCTGAACGGCCTGGTGCTTCTTGGAGGCGGAGGGCGACTGGGGCTGCAGCTGGATGGACGGCAGGGGGGAGTTGGAGCGGTAGTGGCGGCCCAGATCGGGGCTTCCAGGTGGGTAGTTAAGGGGCAGGTGGATTCTGGGACTGTCGTTGACGTTGTCGTTGATGAGGTTGAACTTGAGGCCTTTCTGGAGGCTCGCCTCCTCGTCCTCCTCCAGTGGCTTGGCTGGTTTTGGAGCTTTTCCCTTCTTGCTCTTTTTCCCTTTGCCGTTCTTGGGGCCCTGCTTGGGAGCGTACAGGTCTTTACTCTCCTTCTTGCCGGCCTGGTAGCCGCTCTTAGTGTCCTTCTGCAGCCGGTGTCTGATGACCACCACAGCAACGATGGCCAGAATAACACCAGTAATACCAGCAAGGCTGCCGTACAGGATGGTGCTGCTCTGTGAGAGGGCGTAGTTGGGATCCCCGGCGATGTCCCTGTCCAGAGGCGTGTAGAGGCTGTGTCCGACCAGCGCCTCGATCAGGGACACATTGGACTTGGTGTCATTGACAAACACGTGGACCAGAGCAGTGGTGTGGCGAGGAGGTTTGCCTTTATCACTGACCTTTACGACCAGCCGGTGGAGACCGTTGTGTTTGCCGGTGAATTCCTGTGCCAGTGTGATCTCCCCGCTGTTGGGTGAGATCTGGAACAGTCCGTACGGGTTCCCGCCTGTGATGGCATAGTACAGCTCAGCATTGGGCCCAGCGTCAATGTCCTCCGCCTCCACCACCTCCACACGAGTTTCCAGCGGGGTGACGGGTGTCAGGTATGTGTAGGAGGAGTTAGCCGGTTTGGTGACGTAGGGGGCGTTATCGTTCTCGTCCAGGACATTGATGGTGACGCCCACGTAGGAGGATCGAGGTGGCTCACCAGCATCCACAGCCTTCAGACGGAAGGTGTAGGTGCTCTCCTTCTCACGGTCGAAGGAGATGCTGGACAGGATGGTTCCTGTGCCGTTCTGGATGACGAACTTGCCGTTGTCTGGTTCCACAAACAGTCTCACTTGGGAGTTCTCGCCCTTATCAGCGTCGGTGACAGTCACTACACCGACAGGATTGAGTGGAGGCATGTTCTCGATGACAGAGAAGCTGTAGCCGTTCAGCATGAACTTGGGGTCATTGTCATTGCGGTCGAGAACATTAATCACCACTGTAGCAGTGCCAGTTTTACTGGGAACGCCCTTGTCGGCTGCCGCCACTCGGAACTCATAGCGCTCAGTCTCTTCCCGATCCAGCAGGTTCTTCACGTGAACCTCCCCAGTGTCAGCATTGATCTCAAACAGCCTGTTGGCCGAGAGCTCAATGATGCTGTAGACCAGCTCTGCGTTGGTGCCACTGTCTGCATCGGTCGCCACGACATCCAGCACTTTGTCACCCGGCTGGTTGCCTTCTGGAAAGTCCACCTCGAGCATAGGGGGGGCAAAGGTGGGCGTGTTGTCGTTCATGTCCGTGACCTGGACTTTGAGGGAGTTGGTGCTGGACAGAGCCGGGTTCCCAGAATCCACAGCGACGATTTCAATCCTGTAATCCTTAACACGCTCGTAATCCAGCAGGGTCGTCGTCTGCAGGAAGTACTTCCTCTTCCGATCGTTGGCCGACTCACTCGCAGGTCGGAGCTGAAATGGAACGTCGCCGGCAACCACGCACGTCACCACGGCGTTTTCCCCTTCGTCGCGGTCCGACACCTGTACCAGCGCCACTGGTGTGCCGATGGGCATGTCCTCGGAGATGTTGGCCACGCCGTCCTGGTGCGTTACCAAGCCGATGCCACGGATCTCGATGGCAGGTTCGTTGTCATTCCGGTCCTTGACGTTGATGGTCACCAGGACCTTGGAGCTCTTGGAGGTGGGCCCACGATCTCTAGCGACCACAAAGAACTTGAGGAAGCTTTCCTCTTCTCGGTCCACCAGACCTTTGACGTAGATGATGCCCGAAGAGCGGTCGATGCGCAGAAGCCTCTGGACCGTCTCCGGCGCCTGATGGAGGCTGTAGTCGATCTCTCCATTGCTGCCGGTGTCGGCGTCATTGGCTCGAACCTACAAGAGCAGAATAAAAGGTCTTCAGCCAAACTTTGAAGCACACGTTTCTGTTCAGAGGAGCAGGACATACAAGGAATCAGAAGATTAACGAAGAAATCGCAGTATGACTGGGATTATCTTCCTTAATATGACTTCTCATCTGTGTTCACGAAATACCTCCTGAATGTATAACATGGTTGATTGTGTTCTGTATATTGTTTTTACCAAAGATGAATCCAATGGGCCTTGTTGTACGTATATTACCACAGTGGTGCTACCAGGACTTCTTCAGGCCTTTATGTTGATTCTCTCTATATAATGTACGGGGGTCAGGCTTAAGTAAATGTAATATTGAGGTAATTTATTATTGATGATAACGTTTCCCTGTTGCTGTGTTAAATGTTCCCTACTTCATCTGTGAATAGTCTTTACTGCAGGTGCAGCCTGAGGCCTGTAGGATCCATTCACTGGGACTTCTGACGGGTACGTTTTGATCATTATTTCCCTTTTTGAAGGATGTATTGTGAGCAGGTTAGATTTCATGAGACCTTGTTGCATTTATTAATAAGGACTCTATTTATTCTTTAAGGCTCCTTCTTTTTTTAACATGTCATTAAAAGGATCCCTGCAGGTTCATCTACATATTTATGTTTTTTGGAAAGCAGTTGGGCCCTTGAGGGGTTTCAGCTTTCACATCGTAGCAGCTTAGCCGTTTACTGGGAACTGTTTTGGCTGTCGTTGGAGTGAAGTTCCTGGATTGTGGTTGCTGTGCTGCAGCCGCTCCCTGCTATTCAACATGGCCTCTGTTAGGTAACAAAACATTTGGCCGGTGCCCATTTTGTCGTGCATAAACGCAGTTTTGGTCAATCTAGGAGACAAAACAGCTCAATAACATCAGCGTTGTGGGTGTTTTGCTGCAGAGTTGAATGCTGTTCTGTGTTTAACACTGCAGAGCTGTTTTACTTTTACTCGGTAACCAATTACAAGCAGAATAATAAATCCTCCCTTCACTGCTTTCATGAAGTGTCAGAAGTCAGAGGACGCCTGAACGCCCCGCGCTCCCATTACAGTCTCGGTTACATTTAAATGATTATTTGGCTTCTTTGTCTTACACAGAGTCGTGACCATCACTAATGCAACACCACAAAGCCCTTTATGTTTCCTGGGGGGAGGAGTTTCTGCTGTGTGTGGAACATAATAGACGATCAAAGCTGAGTGCAAACTCCCACACAGCAGCATCCAGCGGCCGTGCAGCGGGTCATTGGCATCTAATGGGCAGATGAGTGAATGTTAATGTTCCCCTCATTATCAGGAAAGCTCCGGCTCCTCGGGGCCCATTAGGAGACCGGAGAGGACCAAGAGCCACAATCCGGCTTCATGTGTCCGAACCCAAAGTAAATGGAGGTAATTAGTCAATTAGGAGGTACGAGCAGTCAGCAAAATATCACTTAGGACGTACTCATTAGAACGCCTTTCTATCTGCACATCTAATACTTCTTAATTGCGTCCGTTCAACGCGGCGGCGGCTGCTGTTTGGAATGTAGGTCGCCGTGTAGTTCCAAATGAACTAGTTGTTGAACAGCTGATTTAAACGTCCCAGGTGCTGCTGCTGGTTCAGCGCTCGTCCAGCCTTCACCTGGGACTCGCGCTGCAATCAGGGTTTCTGCGCTTTAAGGCCATTATTCCCTAAAAAAGTGAGCTGGACAGGAGCCAAGCCTGCACTCAGCAAAACAATCTCCTGAAATTAAAGTCCAGAATATATTGGTTTCTTAAATAAAGCAGAAGAAGAGATCTGCCTGTGGGATGAGCCTTTTTAAACAAACAATAAAACCCACGGCGTTTGGGCCAAGGACAGAAATCTATTTCACATTCCAGCAGCGATGCCAGTGTTCCTACAGGAATGGTTCAGGGAAATGTACTTATTCACTGTTTGGCCAAATGTTTGAAGATACCACTTTCTGGTCTGCAGGGTAAAAATGAAACCACACAGACTGAGGGCGGCTAGCTTAGCTGTGAGCAACGGTAATGAAAACCCAGCGAGCAGCATCTGACTGTATGTAAGAGTTTATTCTGAGGAGGTAACAGACGATCACTGTGGTTTCTGTACAGGCTGGGATCAGGTGCCATGTTTCGCTCTGTTCCTCATGCTAAGCTAAGCTAAGCTAAGCTAAGCTAAGCTAACCTGCTGCAGGTTGTAGTTTTAAATTTGAAACTCTTCTGCGATACCAACTGAAGCAGGAAGAGCTTCTTTAGAAACTACCCTCGACGTCTACGCTGCCTGCGTTTCACTCCGACCTACTGGAGCCGTCGGTGGTCACGACATCATCCGCTAGCTTCCTGCACGTCGCCTCACACGCCGTCCTTTGCTATTGGATGTTTCTGTAAAAGCCTCTCCATGGTTTGTGGTGACACGAGCCTCTAAATGTGCACTCAGAATGCTGCAAACTGTCATTTATAACTTCTAACGCAGCCTCTGTGGCCAAAAAACCTGAAAACCAAACGCCAGCGACGCTGACGGTGTCTCAGGACTGCTGGTGAAGTAGGGTCGGAGGTTTTCGGTGGATGTGACAGATTTGCTCCGGATTAAGATCACAGTTCCTCCACCATTAATAAAAACCAGATTGCAGATGTTACTGGTCCTGTGTGAGTGCAGCTCATGTCAGAACGGATTCCATCAAATGTGGCGGCGATAATCAATATTCAGATCAATATTCAGCGGTATGTAGACACGACACAGCTCCAGCGAAGGGCAGGAAGAGGCCGACGGAGAGCATGTCGTCTGTGTGGGAAGGCTCGATGTTTAAGACAGAAATAAGGATTAAAGGGTTCCTGCAGCCGACAGTGGGGGAGTTTCTCTCCACCAGTTCATGCTGCCACATCATAAATATCTGGTTTCCTGTCTGCTCAGGATCACACACTGTGACAGACCGGCAGCGGCAGCCCGAGGTGACCGTGGAAACCACTGATCCAAGGCAGAGGGGTTAAGGTTAAAGAAAGCATGAAAGTGAAATTATAATTCCTCCTGCCCATTGATTTCCTTTCCTCCGGTGTGGCTTTAAGCAGCAGACATCACCAAACAGCGGTGAATTATTGACAGCTTCTGAGAATTGTGTATTGAACAGCGGGGGCCGCCGTGGCAGCTCTCCAAGGCCGCTCGGTCCGGCTGCAGCGCTGAAAACACTGTTTATCTCCTGGTTAACCATTAGCCAGCGTCGCCGGCTGCCTCGCTAATGGTCCGGCCGGTTCACCACCTCGCTTCTCTCCCCAAATCAAAGCACCGCCGGCTTCTCTGCCTGTTCCTCAGAACGCCAGCGAGCAGAGATAATCCATCACTGTTTATATCCTGTCACGGTTATTGTTGACTAAATCACATTATAATTACATGGTAGTTCAGCACGGACCCTTCAAACCAAACTGATTAATCAGCTCACACTTATACTGTGTGCTTTAATTGCCTTTTAGGGGAATTTATCTATTAGACACGAGGGATCTGTCAGCGTTCGCACACATTCTTCATTCTGTAATAATCTCCAGATCTGAAGACGGAAGAATCTCTCGCAGCGATCTCATTGGCTAATCACCCGTTATCAGCTTCTCCACATCAGTGACACCACACTCAGTCCAGCTCCGGTGACTCTGCTTTTCCTCCTGGTGAGAAGTAGGCGGGGCTTAGTTAGTGAGTGGTGATGTCACTTATCTCAGTGCACCAATCAGAAGCAAGAGCTGCGTTTGAATCAAACAAAGACTCAATTCATGGATAAGAGTTTAATCAGAGCGAACCTGACCAGTGTCTGAACATAAACTCCAAACAGAGACGCTCTGTTGCTCATTTGAACTTTATTTGTTGCTTATTGAATCATTAATATTTAAATTAAAAGGATTTGCATTTAAAGGAGAGTTCAGCTTCTACGGTGACTAACTTGGTGTATTGAAACATGCATCCCATAATCCTCCTCGGCTCCTTCAGCCATGTAGGCCTGAAGGAGCCGATAAAACCTCCAAACTCCTCCACCGGTCGAGTCACGGGGGTCAAACAAACGAATGAGCGATTTATCTTTAAAGGAAACTGTTGGGATGCAGATAAAAGCAGCAGAAGATTAGTTTGAAGTCTGTTTTAGTCAGACTAAATAATCAGAAGTAAAAGAGCTGAAGGCCAGTCGGTGGTCGTACTATTTCATGTGTCGTCATCAGAACATCTTCAGAACCTGCCATGAGTCTGAACCTGAGCGGCTGCAGAAAATAGGTTGAAGTATTCCGATCGCAGCGTCCGCTCCTCTAACCAGCGAGTCACAAGCCGGGATGTACACGTCTGCGCCGCCATTGGACGATTTAAGCAGGTCAGATCGTCGTCCCGCTGCCTCTAAAGCGTCGCTCCTCAAACGCACGAAGTGAAATGAATTCTGCGGCTCTCTGAAATGCAATGAGCCACATCCAGAGCAATAATACCAATAAGCCCCGTGGATAATCTCATGACTGCCTCAGATTAAGTCATGCACAGCGAGCTGGAAGGCTGGCTGGTCGCGCCGCAGCCAGGGAGGGAAGCGCCGGATGGAGCGGCACGTCGTGGAGGCAGCGAGCCGGACCGAGCCTTCCTGCCGGCCGGCCGGGGCCTCGGAGGTGAAGCCGGATCAGTGGTTAATATGTGACTACACGCTGCGATCCCACGCCCTGCTTCACCTCCACCGCACCATCTGTCCGGACGGATAATTGAGCAGCACACTATGAGCAGAGGCTGCGTTCTGCGGGCCAAAGGTTCCCCCACAATAAAACCCGAGACCGACTCTGAGCAGCAGCAAAGCTCGGTTCCAGCTCCGCACTGGCCCGCTTCTCTATTAACAAAGTGTAAAGGAAACGTCAGTGTTAGTAAACTGGTGCTGCACAGAGTCCTTTGTTCCACACATGAAGCTCAGAACTCACCATCTGAAGCCTCGCTCGCTGCGACCCACGGGTCAGTTCTGTCCATCAGTACCGCTCCTTACAGGATAATATTCACAGCACAAGACCAGCTTAATCGAGTTATCTGGGCCGGCGGGCTGGAAGAGGAAACCCAGCTGAACTTAGCTCTGGACTGTAAAACGGCACGAGCGCTAACATCAGGAGACAGCAGGGCCGAGGCGGGTTTCATACCAACAACACGTCATGGAAGGTCCGACACAACGGGCTGATGTTTCTAGAGCATCACACAACGTTTTAGACCCACATCAGGAACTATCTGGGCTGAATCAGAACTTTCCTCATCGGCCTGAACCACACGCTGTTCCACGTGTCGTCATGTGAACGCTCGCTCCTCGTTTCCTTCATGAGCTTCCTCTGAAGGCTGCAGCTGCTGATTAACCTGTTCTGGAAGCTGCTCGTCTGAAACCTTCCTGGTGTTCCTCATGAACACTCCAACTGGAGAAACACATCTAAAACATGTCACATGTAATAAACTAACATTCTGACTCTGAATCAGAACATGTTGGTACTGATTAGTTTGTGTCAATAAACTGATTTTAAAAGTTGTTCCAGTGAAATGATGAACAGCTAACACACAGTTAATCGATCAGCTGTCAATAATTAGATTGATCACCAACTATTTTGTGTCATTTGAGTTAAATCGAGTCATTCAGCTTCTTATCGTTAATACTTCTGGTTTCTTCACATCTGAGGACGTCGTCTTGGGTTTTGGAAACACTGATCGATATTCTTTGTCATTTTTTTTGACATTTTAGAAACCAAACAGCTGATCGATGGTTCTAATCATCAGATTAATTAACGATGGCTAACAGACTAATGACGTCCAGTAATCCGTCCAGGTGCGACTCACCTGCAGCACCGAGTGGCCCAGCGGACTGTTCTCCGGCAGCTCGGCTTCGTACTGACTCCTCTCGAACTTGGGCGCGTTGTCGTTCTGGTCGGTGACGGTGACCCGCAGCAGAGCGCTGCTGGCCCGCGGTGGCTTCCCGCCGTCCACCACCCGGATGTTCAGGTCGTACGAGTCCTTCTTCTCGCGGTCCAGGTTGCCCATGACGATGAGCTGCGGCAGCTTCTCGTCCGTGTCCACCACCACCTGCATGCTGAAGAGCTGGTCGGCGTCCGGCCCGGTGCTCAGCGTGTACTCGGCGATGCCGTTGTCGCCGGAGTCCTTGTCGGTGGCGACGGGGATGGAGAAGAGGGCGCCGATGTGGGTGTTCTCGGGGATGGACAGGGTGAGGATGGGCGAGGAGAACTGCGGCGTGTTGTCGTTGATGTCCAGCACCTCGATGCGGCCCTCGATGAGCCGCGGGCCCGAGCCGATGCCCTTCACCATGTCGGTGATCGACACCTCGAACTCCAGGAAGCACTTGTCGCCCGGGAACAGGTTGCGGCAGTCTCTGAGCATCTCGCGGTCGATGGGGATCTCGGTGGTGTAGATGTCGCCCGTCTTGCCGTCCACCCTCAGGTAGGGCGACCCCACCTCCAGCTTGTACAGGTGTCCGGTGTCGGGCAGGCCCTGGTCCGCCGCCAGGCTGCCGATCAGCGTGTTGGGCGGCTGCTCCTCAGGAACCCGATACAGGATGTCGGTGGGCGCGGCGCCGCAGGAGGCCGGCAGGATGACGGCCAGGATCAGCAGAACCTCCCACCTGGGCAGCGCCATGGTTCTGCCAGACAGCACCGCTCTGAAAGGAAAACACAGAACAGATGAGTGACTCCGCAACGCTCCTCCCTCCGATTTATGTCAGCGCCGCTCAGGAATCGATTGTGGATTTCGCGTCTTCGGGCCACTAAACACATCAGAACACTTGCAAGACCTGCAGGTGGCGAGATTTGAGGCGGGACGCGGCGCCGCCTGCAGCGAGCAGCAGAGTGATGGCTTCCTCCTGCTGCCGTCTGACAGGAAGACAAACTGAACGCTGCTGCAGGCGACGGAGGGGGAAGCAGACGCTCTGCAGTCACACCGGAAACAGAGGAGCGGCTTCAGATGCTGATTAGAATTAAAACATACGATTAGAAACCCCGAAAACCACCTCAGCGTCCGGTTCTGTTTACTGTTAAAAACTCAGTGGAGTCGTGTGATGAAAACTCAACCAGCGCCTCCACCCTGAACCCCAGAAACACCCGATAGCTCCAGTTTGTCTACGGACCAGAGTTCTACCTTTAGACTGGGAACGTTCCTCCACAGAGGAGGGTCCAGATTGATCACCTTAATGGACTTTTTCCATCATTTCTGAGCCTCAGAACTTCATCAGTACAGCAGATAGACACATGACATGTAGGAGGAAGAACACATGTGGGTTCTGCTAGAACCTGACACCAGATCAGTCCTACATCCATCCAGGTGTCTCAGCCTGAACACTGGACCTGGTTCTGATCCACAATGACACAAATAAGACTCAGAACAACTGGACGGAGACAAAACTCTCCAAAAGACATCATGAAACAGCACGAATGAGACACGAATGGATGAATAAACAAAAGAAACAAAAATACGACAACACAAGTGAGATAAAAAAGACACGAAACGACAAAAACAAGCAAAAATCAACAAAAATGAGGCACAAATTAGACAAAACAACAAAAATGACCAAAAAACCCCCACATACGAACAAAAACATGAAATAAAATCACAAAAAAATTAGACAAATGACACGAAATAAGACAAAAACGAGAAACAAAAGAAGACAAAAGAGACAAAAAACCCCAAAACGAGACACAAAACGCTGACAACTCAAACAAAGCTCATCTACATCCGTCCAGGAGCCTCCGTCTGAACACTGGACCTGGTTTTCTTTGGTTGTATCTCAGTAAATCAATCAAATACGAATAAATCAAGCATAAAAAAGCATGAAACATATTGTGCTCCTTCACTTCCAGTCGGTGTGATCTTAATGTGTTAAATTCTAATTATTTCCCAACCTGTGAGCTGCTGCCTTTAGATGTTCACGGCTGGTGGAATCTGTTTTCTTCCAGCGCATGAGGCTGTTTGCAGTGACGATAAAGTCAAGCTTAAACCTTTTAAATGTCACGCTGAAGCAGAGCGGGAGACGTATTCGATGCTGTTTAGGCGGTTTCAGTGTTGGGCGGCGATGCGAGGCTCTGGTTAGAGATGGTGAACGTCATCTGTTCTCGTGCAGCACAGCTCTGGCAGAGACTGAGGAGGGTTTTGTTGCTGCGATCGAGGGTTATCAGCTCAGGATTATCATTTAAATGTTTCAGTAACTATACTTCTCTACACAAGAGCAGCAGAGGCCTTGAAGCAGGACTTTTATGAGCTTCACGTGTATTTACAGTAGATTCTGATCCTCCCTGACCTCACACTCTCCCTGAAGAAACCGTTTCTCACCAGCGAGCTGATAAGATTCGACTCGTCTGAATGTTTCTGCTCACAAACCGACTTTTCACCTGGAGTCTCGGGTTCGCGGCGCTCCGACAGACTCTACTTGATGGAAAGCCTTTCTTCTGCGTCCTCCGTTGTTCCACCTCTCCTCCTCTTTCTTCTCTCGGATTTTTCTTGGCAGTAAATCATCTCAGACGCTCTGTGTTCGCTGCTGCAGGAGTTTCTCTGCCGCGGGTCGCCGAGGGTAATCTGAAGAGCGTTTTTTTTCCTGCTCGCGTCCTTGATTTGCAGAGAACCCACACGTGCAGACGCTACACGGACCGGCGTGCAACCGAGCAGGAAGCCGGACGCCCGGCGCTCTCCTCGTCTTTATGCAAACGGCTGACGTGTGACTGTGGGAGTGGAGGCTCGTCTTCAGTCTATTCTGTGACACGTTCTGCTCATTTCTATTTTCTATTTTAATTCTGAACCACCTCAGACTGCAGACAGAAACACAGCACAGATTTGTGTTATTTAACGTCCTCGAGTTGTCGAGACGCAAGAAGCTGAACAAGATGTCTACCTGAAGCTGTCACAGCCTGGAAGTCAGGTGGGTTTTATAGTCTGGCCTGGGAGCATGTGAGGATCGACCAGGAAACCGTCGTCTCTCTGCTCTGAGCTGAAGGATTCATTCATACATTAGTATAATGAGTTTCCTTCCGTTAACGCTGGCGTTGATGTGAATTGTTCAGCGTGTTCCGGGTTCAACGTAAAGCGCCACGCCGCCACGCCGCCTCGCCGCCTCGCCGCCTCGCCGCCACGCCGCCACGCCGCCACGCCGCCACGCCGCCACGCCGCCACCTCGCTACCGTCCAGCTCTGTTCCAAACCGGCCGTCTGCTGCTTTTCTCACATTTTTCCTCCTGAGCTGCCAAACGCCCCGAACCGCGACCTCCGACCCCCCGACGGCGTTTCACACGTCGCCGTGGAAACCACACTGCTGGCCGCCGTCCAGCCAGTTAACGCGGCGCCGAACACGAGCGTCTGCTGCCAGAACCGGAGCAGCCGCGGGACAAACACACTCGCATGAATATTTATTCCCATCGATTGCCGATCGGTGATGCTCAGCTGATTCGTTTCCAGGTTTTGTTTGTTAAAAATAAAAATCCAATTAAAAGTATTTGCAGAGAAGCTGCTCGTTCCTGAACGTCCTCGTCGTTCAGCGCCGACCTCCTGCCTCGCCTGCAGGTGGATTCAAACCAATCAGCTCAGATCTAACCGCTGCTCTCTGATGCTTCTCCTCTGAATCTCTGGAAATCATTTCTAACATTTAAATTAAGTAAGTTTAAGCCTGAGTTTGTGACGAGAGAAAATCTGGAGGGACGAGTTTGATGAAGCCTTTAAACTCGTTAGCTCCAGAAGCTAATCACAGAGTTTAACTGATTGCTTTATTAATATTTGGTCTGTTTTAAATGAAACTACGTCATTAGTAACGTGTTTTGTTCAGCTGCATGATGTCCAGCTAACACCAGCAGCAGGTGGATGTCAGACTCTAACCCGCATCAGGAGCTGCTTTCACTCCTTCCTCAGCAGAAGGAGCCAAACTCCGTCCACAACAGTCCAAATCCACATTCATAGTAAAAGCCTTCAAGAATCTGCCTCGACTTTTAATTTTTCCATTAAAAAAAAAATTTAAAAATTTAAAAAATCTGCGACTTCCATCATGTTAAGAATCTAATAATCAAATTCCAGCTGAATGCAGGCGGAGCTGTTAAAACGTGGAGCTGAGGCGCTCAGGACGTGAAGAAGCGGCTGAACTGATGCAACCTGATGCTCACAGCTGTAAACCCAAACACCAGCCGACTCCTGGCGGCTCTCAGACACGCTTTCACTTCCACAAACTGGATGAATTTAACACTGAGACCGTTTTAAGCACAACTTGCTGCATTTGAATATTCAGCTGCTGCAGAAAAACCTCCTGACGGGAATGTTTCTTCAGTTTTCAGCCCGAACCAGCTGCTCATGTAGGTGTGCTGCTGCTGCTGCTGCTGCTGCTGTGGAGGCCTCAGGTGGAGACGAGCAGCAGAGTCGGGTTCTGTTTTGGTTTCCAGACGGTTAAAAATAAAGAAGGTCCTGAGAAAAGCTGCATGTTCGAGACTCTCGGGGTCAGAATGTGAAGAGAGTTAAAACCAAAGCGCAGCGTGTTGGTGTGTGTTGGACGAGTGTGTTCGCCGCCTCGGGGGACGAGACCAGAGATCGGCCCGCTCGTCCTGTTTCCCACAGAACCAAACTTTCTCAGCCACCGGCCGCTCTGTGCTCCAGTGTGTGTTACAGTGTGTGTGTGTGTTACAGTGTGTGTGCGTGTGTGTGTGTGTGTTACAGTGTGTGTGTGTGTGTGTTACAGTGTGTGTGCGTGTGTGTGGAGGCCGACCACTCGAGCTGCTGGAGCCCGTGTGAGCGCCGCTGCATCACAAAGCCCGGGACATTTCCATGTGTAAGGACCCGAGCGGCCGGAGACAAAGAGCGGGCAGGCGGCTAACGGCTAGACGCTAACGCCGCCGCCGCCTCCCACCGACCAGCTGCTATTCACATTCATGGTGAAGCGCTGGCGGCAGCGCACGGCTCCACCGCCTTACATGACATTAGCAGGACGAGCTGCATCACATTAGCGCCGCTGTAAACACACATCCTGGTGGAACCGGCCGTAAAGCCTGAGGGCTGTTAGACCCAACCTGAGACCATCTGTGGATGTTACAGGACTTCACAGAACCAACAAGACGCCTGAAAACAATAAGATCAGCCGAAGCGAAGCCTCGACACCAGTCTGAAGAACATGAACTGTTTTAACTGGTTATTATTTGACAGCAAATAAAGGAACGTGTCCCTGTGCTGAACCAGTGATCCTATAAACCCAACAACAGGACAACACATTCACACTGGTCGACTTGTTCCTGATTCATTTCCTCCGTCGGTTTGTTGACTGCAGCTCGACTACTCAGGTCTTTCTTTTCCCTGCAGGATCATTTTTATGATCTTGAATTAAAATTAAAATTAAAGGGATTTAGGTAATTATTAATGTAAAAACAGAATAAAATGAGCTGAACAGAAGCCATAAAACCCAACAGTAGAAGGCAGGTATATTCATGTCTGACCGTTTCTGGATCAAAATGACCAAACTAATGGATGGTTTGTCCATCGGGTGGCTGACCTGAGCTCCATGTTCAGGACAAACATCCAGCGTTTCCCTCCGACAGCTTCAGCAGGTTTAACAGCAAATAGAATCAACAGAAACGCTTTCAGACACTAAAACCGTAAAACCTGAAAACGCTCGGCTCCTATTCGGTCCGGAGTTCTTCTTCCTGCT